TTAAACCTTGTGGCTCCCGCTAGGGAATTTATTCCCACGAGGCAGGGATTTGCTGCGCTTCTGACAGAGTAAGACAAACCCAGAGAATGCCAAAGGATGTTTGCTTGGAAAATAAGAAAACAAAGGAAAAACCAGATTTTTTTTCCCAGATATTTATCCAACAGATGGCTACAATTCAGCCAAAACCCTTGTGACAACAAGGGCCCCACAGACTCCAACTGATAAAAACACGAATAAATTCCAATTATTAGAGTATTTGTGTTTGATTTGGGTAGAAATTTAAATATTTAGTGTATCTTTCCTGTCTTTTCAAATCCTTAATTGATAGAGCATGAGGCTTTCCAGTACTCCTGGTTAGACCTCAGCGGGTCAGATGGGAAAAAGGAGGAGTGGAAGCAGGAAGAAGATCCTGTCCAGATCCGTGCTCTGAGCAGAGATCTAAAATCTCTGATTTTTAAAGATCTTTAAGATTTTCTGTGTTTTAAGCCAGGCCAGTGTTTTGTACAGCTGGGAAATACCCCAGGAAGGTCATTTCCAACACAACTCCCCACCAAGAGAAAGCTGAATGGCAGCAGCAATTCTTGAAGTTTTCCTTTTAAGCCAAATTTCCAGCTTCCTGAGGGAATTTTATTGTTCTCTTCTGTATCCCTTCCAAACGGTTCAACTTGCTTGAAGCAGTGAAACAAAAAATCACAATGAACTGGATGAGGCTACTTAATGGAGGCCTAATTTATATGAGACATGACCTAATCTTTTCCTTCTAATTAGCACTGCTGTGCCCTGATACTTTTGGGGTTTCTAAAAACACCAAACAAAACAATGTAATGTAATTTATGTGTAGAATTTTTTTTTTTTTTTTTGCAGGTCTGATATTTTAACCCTCCTGTCTTTGCCCTGCACATTCTCCTGCTCAATATCACTGCACTTGTTTCCTGGAATACTGATGCAGTTTCTCAGGATACTTCTGGATGTTCCACCCTACACACAGGAATAGGTGATTCAGCCATCCACCCTTTCACATATTTCCCTATTTCCAATGAGTTTTGTGCTTGCCTCCCTAAATTAATTCCACAAATCATCCATTTCCCAATGAACAGCTATGCAGGAAGGAAGGAGCAAACTCAGCGACGTTTAATCAGCAGAGAAACTTTGTGATTTATGTAGTAATTTGATATGCAAAGAAAAACCTAAAAAACAACACTTCTTCCTGGCTTATTTTATTAATGATTAAAAGCCAAACATTTAAAACTAATTCCTGTTTGTCCACTTGAGCATGATGATACTTTGGTTCTGAGAAACCATTATAAGGCATTAGGTTTCTGCAGAAAGAAAAGATTAAAAACCAGAAATGCTTTTAGCACATCTGCCTATTTCCTTCCCCTACCAAATTCCAATAAATTAAACCAACCCAACCTGTTCTAATACAGAAAAATTACTGCTTCACTCGGGAGATGTTCAGCAATGTTATCAGTAAACAATGGTTGAAAATAATAATGATTATGTAATAAAATCTATTCAGCAACAGAAGAAAGCAAGAAATGGCAACACAGCAAACCCTGCTGTTGGGGGAAATCCCACGAAGAGCATATGATGCTCGATGCTTACGACATCCCTGGGTGCAGAAGCCAGTGGAAAATTTCAGCCAATATTTCAGTAGAAGGAGGAAGAGGAGGCCCCTTACATGTGACACCAGAAAAAGCTCTGAACGACTTTGATATGCAAAGAAAACCCAGAGCCAGAGCTTTACCCTGGAGCAGCAGCACAGGGAAAAGGAGAGGCCACTGAAGCAGAGCTATTGGAATTCCAGAGTTAGGATCACCCACTGGTTGGGATCTCAGAGCCCACCCATTCCCAGGCTGCTCCAGCCCCAGTGTCCAGCCTGGCCCTGGGCACTGCCAGGGATCCAGGGGCAGCCCCAGCTGCTCTGGGAATTCCATCTCAGCCACTCCCAGCCTGCCAGGGAACAATTCCTAATTCCCAATATCCCAGCCAGCCCTGCCCTCTGGCAGTGTAAAACCATTGTCCCTGGTGCTGTCACTCCCTGCCTGTATAAACAGTCTCTCTGCCCTCCCTTGTGATGCTCCACAACCCTTCCTCTTCCAGTAACAGATTTTGGGCAATAGTTGCTTTTTGCTGTGTAAGGAAAAAAGATAAGGCACAAGCTCGTGCCCTGCGAGCCAAAACCCCCATCCTGCCATTCTACCTATCATGTCGTCATTTATCCTTTAGACTCTGCCAGACTGTGACTTCCAAGCCAAAGAACGGGAATCCAAAGCTGTTTTTCCCACGCCGCGGCTGCAGCCGCTGCAATTCACCGGGAATGGGTGGGACGGGCTGGGGGAGAGGGACAATCCACAGGGACACGGGGGACAGACCCAGGGAATGGCTCCCACTGCCAGAGGGCAGGGCTGGATGGGAGATTGGGAATTGGGAATTGTTCCCTGGCAGGCTGGGCAGGGCTGGGATGGAATTCCCAGATTCCCCTGGATCCCTGGCAGTGCCCAAGGCCAGGTTGGACACTGGGGCTGGAGCAGCCTGGCACAGTGGGAGGTGTCCCCATGGCAGGGGTGACACTGGGTGGGATTTGGGGTTCCTCCAGCCCAAACCCCGCTGTGATTCCACGGCAGCCCTGCAAACTCCACAGCACATCCTCACCGACACCGTTATGCCAGCCCGCATCCCCGCGGAGCTCCGGGAGCGCAGCGGGCCCGCTCCCCGCTCTCCCGGGGAGGGAGCCCCGCTCCGCCCCGCTCCCTGAGCGCTCCCGGACCCACCTGCGCAGGGCAGCGGGACCAGGAGCAGCGGCAGCGCGGCCGCCAGCCAGAGCGCGCCCGGCTCCCGCAGCCGCTCCGCCGTCCTTCTGCCCCTCGGCCCCTCCGTGCGTCCATCCCCGGGCTCCTCCGGCTCCTCCGTGCGTCCATCCCCGGGCTCCTCCGGCTCCTCCGTGCATCCATCCCCGGGCTCCTCCGGCTCCTCCGTGCATCCCTGCCCGGGCTCCGCCGCCCCAGCCCCCGGCTCCGCCATCCCGGGCAGCGCTGCCGGAAGCGGCGGCGGCGGCGCCTGCGCGGAGCGGCCCGGGCGCTCTGAGGGGCGGTCGGGGCGGCGTGAGGGCGGTGTGAGGGCGATGTGGGGGCTGTGAGGGCGGTGTGGGGGCTGTGAGGGCGATGTGAGGGCTGTGTCGGAGCTGTGAGGGCGATGTGGGGGCTGTGAGGGCGGTGTGAGGGCTGTGTCGGAGCTGTGAGGGCGATCAGGGCTGCGTGAGGGCGGTGTCGGAGCTGTGTGAGGGCGATCAGGGCGGTGTGAGGGCGNGGGCGGTGTGAGGGCGATGTGAGGGCTGTGTCGGAGATGTGTGAGGGCGGTGTCGGGGCTGTGTGAGGGCG